TTCCGAAATCCTATACTTACGTACCAGGTTGGACCCCCGTCAATCCCGAGACCTTCTCCCTGCATACGCCTTACGCCTTAGAATGACATGCCAAAACTTATCGCACCTAAGGCTGTTGCTGATTGGTTTTCGCCTCCCTCACCTGGCGACGGACTATACAATCGTCGGCTAATGAGGTCACGCCGCTCACGCGGCGAGAATCGTCGCGTGCGGCAGTTGCTGCGGCGATTTCTGTGTGGACCTTTTCTTATCCATCCATGCCCATAAGTTGGCTAGGTGACTGATAACACCAGAGTGCTGGACATCAGTAAGCCAGCAAGCGTCACTGTAAGATCCCTGCAGTGATTTAAGCCTCGCAGTACAAACTTTGTACCGTGTAAAGGTTGTCCTTTTGGATTTAATTTGACTTCTTTATTAATCAGTTTCCTGAATTTCTATCAGAGAGTGATAATCTGGTTCAATCAGAGAGTGATAATCTGGTTCAATCGGAAAGAATATTGCGTATCAAGACACAGAGTAGCGGCGAGGAAGGCTCTAACATAAGCATGATATGATAAGTATGTAATAACGGCGAGCGAAAACGAAACTGCATTTTAAAGGTTAGGTGGTTCTTATTCCATGTTTCATGAAGGGAAACATGATCTAATCTTACATTCCCCAATGCTTGGATGCTGAGTTCTTTGCAAATTCGCCGCGATATTGCTGGCTGCGGCGGCCGGCGCGGCGACCTACTTACTGCCACGATTGAATCGTCACGCACCCCCCCGGCAGTTGCTGTATATAGTCGTTAGAGTGTTATCACAACTATGCCATGCTACAAAACATTGATAGCTCAAGTCCTGCGAGCTACCCGATTTGTTAGCGGTTTGTTTATCCATTAGCTTCCTTATCACTCACTTCATTTTGCGGACGGACAGACACATACATACAGTCGATATCCGAAAGTTGGGGTAGGCGTGTCACCGGAAGTGACGTGCACTTGATAGAAGTTGCGTGGATAAGCTGTTGCCAGCATGCTTTGCTGATATCCAGCGATGTATGTTGGAAGCAGCTTATCCACGCAGCTTCTATCAAGTGCACGTCACTTCCGGGGCCGTATGCTATGCTTCCCCGAAGCTAGTGATCCAAAGTTTCCTTTAAATTTATTTGTTTTGAACGATATAGTTTCTTCATTTTCAGTGCATGTTTACTTTACCTACATACATACATTAAATGTAGGCCTTTATCAGGGCAATCCCAGTTGGGAAGACAGAGAAAATTTAAAGGAATTTTCGTCCCCTAACCCCTTCGGGGAGGATAGCATACGGCCCCCGGTGATACGTCTACCCCAACTCTCGGATATCGAGTACACATACATACAGACATACATACAAACCGACACACCAAGTTAGCGGTTTATAAAATAGAAGGATACCATGGGAAAGTTGGGTTGCCTTTGCTATAGGCGCACCAAAAAGCACACCAAACCACAAAGATAAAGAGATTTATTAACGTCCCGGTGTCAGCAGGGACCGCTTATAACACGAGATCCTAAAAAATTCAAAACACAAAATAATCAACAAATCAAAAAGCTCATCATACATTATACATGGTTACAATAAATATTCAGAAATTCATAATTAATAACTCGTCACATCGTAAACCCGCTATGAATAAATGACCTTTTGACACGATCGCAAGTTCCCTAACACCTGTACCACATCTATCACACAACATTTCGATTAAAACCACGGATGCCATCGGGGATCCATTTGGGAAAGATTCTCTTCATTGCGAGCGCTCTCTATTGCTAACTGTATCTCCTCTTGCAGTAAATATGCTTCCTGTGTGGCCATCCCTGAAAAGGAGTTGTTCACTTTTTTCTCGAGAGATAATATAAATTACAAAGAAAAACTTCATGAACACACGAATAAACAGAAATGCAAGGCCCTTCACTAGTTGTTTCGCAGTTCACTTTGAGATTTAAGTTACCTTCGCCTCAACGCAGCCTTTGCTGAAATACGGCATTCCAATCACCCCAGAAAGCTTTATCACAACGACAAACTCAGCGGTTAACAAGTTAACGGTAACGCGTACTTTGCACACCCCCCATGCACCTTTCGCGTGCCCAGTAACGTTACGCTCCACCAGGGTGAATATCGGTCGAGGAAATCCTCGACAGGGGGGTCGTACCTGTCGGGCTGGGTCATGGGGGGTCGTACTCTTGGGGTCAGTAACAGCAGTGGTATCGTGGTGCAGATAGGTAAGAGGGTATAGCGCAGCAGAAAATGAAAATATCTGAAAAAAACATGATATTAAATTTTCTTTGCAGGTTCAGTCGCTCCATTCCTCCACCTTCATGAGAAGGGCGTATTTGAAGGCAGTACAAAGAATGAAAGTGCATCCCCGCAAAGAAGACTGCCACATGTGCGCACGCGCTGCAAAGGCACCTCCTCTGCCTATCGCTCGCTCCTTCTCCCTTAATACCTCGCTGAGAATGACACTGTTGTTAGGGACCCTGTCGCAAAAACGACAACCGTGAAGGAAAAGCCCTGGGCAAATGAAGTTGTTCTTTAGGTTGTAGGAGTTACGAAATGCGTTTACTACAATGCAGCTTCTGTCAACTGGTCATGATCATATGACACCTTCGAATCGATTCTGCAACTGTGAGTGAGGTCGGATGCATGGCTTATACCAATACGAAATCGGATGATGACGATTGCCCCTATTCTTATTGCTTGCGTTGAAAGATTTGTTCTAGAGACACATTCCGAGTGTTGCCAACGAATCACACTTGCAATGGTGAAGGAGGGAGCGGATTTCCAGGTGGCCGGATCCGTCCTCGATACATACTCGACGCAGATATCTTCTCAACTAGGAATGTAGAAGAAAGCTAAGAAGACCATCAGAAAGCGCAAACCTTCCGCTTTCCAAAACTGTCTTCCCTTTTTCAGGACCTTACGGCATTAGAGAGATATTGCTTTTGAAGTGGCAAAAACTCGCGTGAAAATTTTCAGCGTCCTCGACGTTTACTCGACGAAAATTTGAGAGACCCTATCTTTCTGCATGGAAGGCTTCAGAGCAATTTCAATACTTCTTGGAAACGCGAAATCCAGCTCTATCTAACCCTACCTCAAACTGCTTCAAAGGTTATGAAATGGAGGAATGCAACCTTTTCATCGAGGGTGTAGATTTCGACGGTTTTTTTCGGGATTTCAGCAAATCTGACCCAGTGACAATCGCGCCGCAGCTGCCGTTGAATCGGCCGTTGATTGATACACTCGGCTGTTTTGATATACTCAAGCAGGAATCAAGATTAAATCGCAACCCCGTGCCTTCAGGATTTCTGTGCATTTCTGAACGAACCTGACTTTGAGGTCACACAAAGTTAATGCCTCTTTCCTCGAGTCGATATTTCAGTAAATACACAAAAGTGTGCAGCGATGAAAGACAGTGCATAGATGACAAGATGAAGCGTCCATAACATTATTTTGCAGAATTTTTTTGATTTAATTTTGCAGGATTTTTTTTTATTTATTTTGCAGGATTTTTTTTTTTGATTTGATTACTTAATTGAATTAATTTGCTCTGTTTTAGGGGGTCGTGCCAGGATCTCGATTTTTTTTGGGGGGGAGGGGTCGTACTTCTGCGACCACGTACTCGACACGATTTACACCCTGGTCACCCCTGCTCCTCGCGCTTGCGCGATTTATTCCCAAATCCTTTTATATTCGTTTCCATAGATCACACTTACACACAGTAGCGGTCAAAAGTGTTCGCTGGAACGATTTTTAGTGCATTATTTTTTCTCGATTGAGCAACGCCCTCCAAAGATTATTACATTCTGTTTTCTACTGTTTTATACCCCAGTATTAACAGTCAGATGTTCAAAGAACAAAAAGGTTCGAAGACCACCACTAATGTTTTTTTTTCTGGCAAACAAAAAAGAGAACACGGAAAACCCATTTTCGCAAAACAACTTTTACCGTACTGTAACTGTCAAGGACATGGTACGTCGTGTGGTCAAGCATGCTTCGGTTTAGCAGTGGTTTTAAGCGCTACGA